AAGCGGGGAGCACAGACTCTTGCATAACGCATAACACGTAATGCATAAGAAAATGTATCAATCAAAGCCCTCCGTTTCCTTCCTTTCCATGAAATAAAGAATTCTGATTGATTGAATTTCTTATGCATTACATGTTATGCGTTATGCAAAAGTCTGTGCTCCCCGCTTAAGACTATCTTGAAATAAGACTCGATTATGAATACCGGCCATTGATCGGTCAGTCTATTTATTATTACGTTTATGACATTATTTTACAATTATCTGCTCATAGATGTCTCTACTGATATTCTTCAGAATTCATCTGCCGGTTCTTGCCGAATGATTGCCGACTTTGCCGACCGGACAAGCCAAGCGGCATATGCGTTATTTGCGTCTATTTGCGTTGGTCGATATCGCTGTCCATCCGGCTCATCGTCGCTGATCGTCGTGTACGTAAAAAATACGGAGACGACGATGGAGCAGGTGATAACAGCGGCAATCTGAAACGGGAAGTGGTAGTTCGATACTTGTTGGTACTCGTACTCGCAACGTTTCGTCGAAATCGTTGAAGAGGACGAGTCCAACGGCAAGCTGAAAAAGGAATAGTCACGTGATCGAGGGTGTCGTACCGAGGATCAACCCCGACGGCTCAGCCATCGTACGTTCATGTGTGTGCGCGTGTGATATGCCGGTGTCCCACTTCCTAGTGCAATACGATACCGATACCGTTCGTCTCTCAAAACTAACTATTTGTCTCGCGTCACTAGAGGTTCGGGCGAGAACGCAGTGGTCGTCGTCGTCCGCTACTATGCGCATTACGCATTAACAACGCATAAACACCGTGATCGAGGTGAGCCGGGCTGTACATCCTTGTATGTACATACCTATGTATATGTAAAGCGATTTATTTTTGTGCGCATTCCGAAGATCGATCAGCGAATGTATGGCAAGTTCTCTTCGGTTTTTCCGTCTCCCTCCATTTGTTGGGGGAGCAAGAACGTGTCGAGGGCGAGTTCCGAGGGTGAGTCGCGCCGCGTCGAACTCCAAAATACGTTAAAATACGCTGAAAAAGAAAGGGGTATACATCTTGCGTTTAGAGTTCTGAATTGTTTAAGTAGAAAAATAGCTATCGCTTCTTGTTCATCTCTGTGTAGTTATCTATTTAAATTATCTCACAATCTGAAGTAGGACAAGTTTGTGATGCGATATCATAATAAATAAAAATGTACTACTACTACTACTACTTTGATTTTATAATCAAGATTTCATGTGAAACAGCGTTGTAAGATTAACAAAATTGTTATATAGAATCTGTCTTTGCATCATAATTCAAGAAAATAAATTAGCTACATTCTGTGTGCTTCTATCAAAGTCATCAAGGAATTAATTAAACCCAAAAAATTATGTTTTTAGAAGCTGTTATAATTAATATTTAATATATAGCTGTTTTACATGCAGAATGTTTTATAACATGTAGACATAACATTAGAAATGGCAGAAATAAATTTAAAACTCAAGAAGTTCATATAAACATGTATACTATCTAATTTTAATTCCAAATTACAGACGTTTTTGTGTTTCATTAATTCTCGTTACAAACTGAGCTAGCATAGCATTTTCTTAAATAGATGCAATATATTAAACTAATGTATATATTATAATATTTTTTTCCTCTCTTACTGCTAATTTGTCTTAAATGTAAAAACTTGATGTAATAGTTAAAAGAAACATATATAAAAGTGTCTTTCTTCTTTTTCTAAAGTATAAATATGTATACATGTATTTTACATTTATGTATTCATTTCATACATAATTTAAAAGCAAAACTAAATAAACAAATCCAATGTGTTCTCTTAGGTATTCACTGAAGATAGACAATAGTTGAAAAGAATATGACCTATATAGCCTTGACAACATATACGATTTAATGTGATTTATATACACTGTGGCATACAACATTAGTTAATGACATGAATATAAAATAGTACATTGTGCATCAAAGAGGAACAAGCATTTATTTAAGATTCAAGGATATCGATTTTTTAATTAACATAGTTCCAGATAGAAAACATTGATTTTTTTTGTCCAATCGCAAAATGAATAATAAATTGCATCAGTGTTTAATATTAACTGATCAAGTAGTTGTTACTATATTAAAAATTTATATCATTGAAATTACAATCTAGAACAAAATTTCAATATTTATGTTATTTACGATAATATTTATTTATTTACGAGTTGGTACTGTTTTATTTATTTATTTTGTTTTCTATTCAGTTATTTTTTTATTAAATTTTGTTTTTATATGAAGCAGAAGTCTGAAATTTTTTAAAAGATACAGATTAGAAAACTGGTTTCTAATGAGAAAAAAAATGAGAAAAAAATACACTAATGCTAGGAGTGGTTATTTGTATGAATATAAATTATTTCAAAGTTGTGTAACAACTTTATTCAACTTTATATCTGTTGCATTAATGTTTTCTATGCTAGTATAAGTATAGTCTTCAGACTTAATATATGTTCTTTTGTCTGTTATAGCATGTACGCGCTGCAGATGCAGACTGCCTGCCAGGGCGACGGCACTGGTGAGCCCGATGACCCCAGCAGCCTTCATCAGGAACCGGTGCGACCTGCTACCCAAGATTGCAGCTCTTTCGATATTGTCAGAGCCACGCAGGTAATGTTAGTGATCGAATTGAAGAACCTATTTATTTTTTCAATTTATACTTTAAAAGATTACACATTATATCTTGAAAATTTACAATAAATTCATAAGTGCGCAATTCATATTATTAAATTATATGGATCTGAGATGATTGAATGAGATATATTTGCAGTATGGGGCGTTGGAGCGAGTGACACAGCTGGTAGAAGCTGGTGCCGACGTGAATCAGCCAGATTCAGAAAATGTGACGTTATTGCATTGGGCTGCTATAAATAATCGCAGGGATATTGTCAAATATCTCATTGCAAAGGGAGCTGTAGTTGATGCTATTGGTGGTGATTTAGCCTCCACACCATTGCATTGGGCCACGAGGTCAGTATTTTAACAAATATTATATTAATATAATATTATTTAAACTGAATGATATACAATTTTAATGATTAAAAATTTTTTGAAAATAAATAATTTTATGCAATGCATTAAGTTTCCTACAAATTTGCATAGCTTTTTAGTACTAGTCTCCATTTTTAATGTGAATTTATAAGACTGCTTTAAAAAAAAACTTGAAAAGAGAATTATTTTCAATTGTCTTTCTAGACAGGGCCATCTCTCCGCGGTTGTGATTCTAATGAGGGCAGGTGCTGATCCAACCTTGAGAGATTGTGAAGGCTTCTCCTGCATACATCTGGCGGCACAATTTGGCTATACGGCTATAGTGGCTTATTTGGTAGCAAAAGGCGTAAATCCAAATATGCCAGATAGAAGTGCCATGACACCTCTCATGTGGAGTGCCTATAAAGTTAATAGGTACACAGAGTACCGAATTATTATTCTACCTGTGACTCGTTTTTTCAAATAGAATAATGTTATGTTGGTTACTTTAAAGTCTTTCTTTTTACAGTCTGGATCCAACGCGATTGTTATTGACTCTCGGTGCATCGCACTCACTTACCGATAATCTGTATGGTAATACCGCTCTGCATTGGGCCATTATAGCAAAAAACAACACGGCGATATCCATCTTGGTACAACACGGAGCCTCGTTAGATCTGCCCAATTTCCGAAATGAGACGCCAATGACGCTGCTAGGTCCGCACATCAGTGCCACATGGTTAGAACATAAGATCAGGGACGAGATTAAAGAAAAACAAGGTCGTACGAGAACATGGTGTAGAGATAAGGTAATGATGACATATCATAAACGTGTCGTAGTATGTTATAATATCTGTATATTTTTTCAAGTTAATTTTTTAAGACAGAATTTGAACGATATTAAGCTAGACTTTTCCCATTCTTTTATATGGTTGTTTCATTATCATGTATTTTTCTTACAGAAAATTCGTTGGTATTGTATGGTCAGTACGCCGCTTATAGCATTTTATCTGATTGGTATGGTTTTACAAAGTGGATGGGATTATTTATTAAAACTAGGTGCCTTTATCACCCTTTATGTAGCGGTGTATCTAATGAACCATTTTGTGTTCGACGAACGGCTGTTTCACGTTTTGCCAGTATCGATTTATTTTGCAACTAAGGTGAGTATAATTCCAAGACGTATTCTCTAGATAACCGAAGACGTTTATGAGCGATTTCCGATAAGCTGCTAAATGTGATAAATAATATTGTCGATAAGGTGATAAGCTCAAAACCAGTGTTAATCT